TCACTGAAGGCTGAGCACAGAACATGAACTGAGTGAAGGAGTTTATAGAAAGGAACAGTCATAACTGGAAAGGAAGTACTGTGTCAGAGCAGTCTTGGGGACGAAGGATCCGAGCTCCTTCATATATACCTCAAGTTGCAGAACTTGCCATTTGGAGCTCAGAAACAGGGAATTTGTGGACAGTAGAGTTAACGCTGCCACATGGAAGGCATTGATACTGAGATTTTGAAAGAGTGCTTTACTCAAGTTTAAAGGCAAGTTGATTTCACTAAACTTGTATAAGCTCAGAACATCTCTGCCTAAACTCCTGTCAACTTATCAGAAGCATAAGGAAGTAAGTTTTCCAAGGGTATAATTAAATAGGCAGGCTTTAGGTATTGCATGCTGAAGGACAAAGAAATAAATCTTACAAGTGTGTCTCAGAGGTGTTTCAGCTTTTGCATTCCACAGTGCTTTCCTAACTACCACACAGTCCCTGAGCAGTCCCTCACCCACCACTCCCCAATAAATTACTTCACCTTTGAGAGTTTCAGCTACGCCAAAGCAGCACTACAACTCATATCCAGTACAGAGCCACTTTAGGACAGTTTATACCAGCAATATCTGAGATTGTACAGGGAAAGATCTGTATGCTAAAGCCTTGTTGCCATACAGCAGGATCAAAGCAGACTGAATAGATGGGCTCCTGAAATCTTTGCACAGTCCATATTTAAATAGTACATACCTCGTCAGTGCCTCCAGATTCACCTGGATCCAAGTTTGCATCCCACCACAGACTCCTTTTGCCTGACGACCATCCCTGCCTCAGCCTGCTGGGCACCTACCTATGTGTAGCACAGCCTCACCACTAACGCTGAACAGGCTGATATGACAGACAAAAACAGCAGTTTCAGACTTACATAACCAGCCTGCCAAACCTACCCCAACTTCAGCCAACCATAAGCATCACCAACATTAATCCTGTGTTTTACTAGACACACCTGGAGGAGAAAGATAATCACTCATGTTAGAAGAACAGGGACATTCTGAGCACACCACGCCTAAATAGTAGAACCTGTCAGAAACAAGATTAAACGTATCTGGCTGACAGACATCATAAAGCAGCATGTACTTTACTAGATAAAGGCTGACAAAGCTGAGAGTGTGAATGTTTTCCATAAACCCCAGGACGCCTGTGATATTTAACAAGTTCAAAGATAGCAACTGCTGCAGGAGCAAGCATCCTCTGATTCGGACAACTCCTCTATCCAAAACCATCCAACCTAAACAAGTGAAGATTGACTTATTGCTGACAGACACCTGGCTGAATGGCGCTTGAAATTCCTGCCTACAACTGCTGGCCAGCATACCCAGCTAGGGACAAAGTGAACAGAAACAACATCACTGTTCTGTTTCACTGGCTAGTTTGTCAGCTTGACTCATCATTTGTTGAACACTTTATCCAGGCTCCTCTTTCCTCCTCCTTTCTGTTGGGCATTCTGTTATGAATGGAGCTACTGGCAAAATAGGACTACATGTAAGATATTGTGACACACACAAGAATTTAAGTTTCCACCCTTTACTCCCAGGACCTCCCTGAAACCAGGGAAGTCCTCCTCACCTTTAGTGGCATGCAGCTTTCAGGTGAGGCACTCTCATAATACAGTTCTAGGTAAGTAGACATGGATGCACTGTATATTAGTTCTTTCAACTCTAGCTTCTACTATATATATATATTCTTAATTCTCAGTGGATTTCCTTCTAAGATTGTGGATAGCAAAGCAGAAGTCAAGCACTGCTGACAGAATTTCTTACCTCTCAGAAGCCCAAAGAAAGAAGTTGTTCATGTGCTGACAGCATCAGAAGTAGATAAGGGAAAGAAAAACCTTGATGCTGTTAAGACTACAGCCCTGATTATTGACGAGCTACAACATGTTACAATAAGTTTTCAACAGAGCAGAGCTCTCCTCCTCAGCATGCTGCCACCTGAAATCCTAAAGAAGGGCATGACACAGAGCTCTTTGTTAAAAACCAGGAAATGTAAGAGCTTTGCTGGTCAGAAATGGGACTGGCAATTTACGTGTCTCCTCCCCCATGTTTATTAGACCCAGAATTAAAAGAAAAAAAGGAGGCTGAAACAGAGCTGCTTTCAGGAACCCCTCAGCAAACATTTCAAGCAGAAGGAAAGCCACATGATCAACTGGAAAAGTCCAAGACATGAGATGGAACAACTCAAGTGATTTTGTCCTTTGCTGTTTGGAAATAAACAGCAGTGAAGCCAGATGCCAGAGCCAACCATTATCACTACATCAGGCCCTTTCTGCCTTAAAAAAAAAATATATCCTGTGGGACAATTTCCTCTGAGACAGAGAACACGTGAATTTTAAAGGGTCATTTATCATTTAGACTGATGGACAGAGTAGCAGAATGGCAGCTGCCAGAACTTACACTCTTCACTTAGTGGAACAGCCAGTGAACTCAACCCTGAGAGAAAGGTAGGCTGGTCTTCACACAACCATCCAGCAGCTGTAGGCAACATTCAGTCCCACCCAAGGCCCAAAGATACAGCAGGACAAAGTGAACTGATTGGGTCGCAACATCTTTACTGAAGCTCATGAAAAAATCATCCACCTACACTATGGACAGCACTATCATCTTCACAGCTATCCCTTAGTTGATTCTTCCTGTCAGATGCAAGACTGACATCTTAACAGTGCAGCACAACAGCTTCTGTTTACCATCACACAAGCAAGCCTGTCCTAACAAGTACGAGGAAGAACATCTGCACTATCAGATACAGAGACCTGGCTTGGCCTGCCACATTTTTTGACTTCGGACAGCATTTTGCCCCAGCTGCATAGAACCGAACACAGTCTGAAGTTATCAGCACCACTGACAATTGCAACAGGAACTGTATGTCGGTGTCATACAGCTACGTAAATTTAAGTGCTATCAGATGACTTGCAACAGTGATGCAAACCAGAGAAAAATGTCTGTGTCAGCTTATAAATTATGAATGTACATGGTCACAGGCTTCCTATCCAGAATTAATTTACTCTTCGCCATAAAAAAAGATGCTTCAAGGACAGGGCATTGGAGCTTGTCTTGGCAAAGGACGACTGCCTTATTCCAGCAGGAGGCTATGAAACACTCCCTAGTACTGACTAATGCAACTGATTGAATTAATTCTGTTAGTTACTACTTAAGATAAACTGACAGCAACAGCATTAACTTGTAACAATCAGAACAGCTTCAAGCACCTCATCAGCTGCAGAAGGCTCTTCAGCATTTAACTGCAGCATTGAGAAGAGCCATATAAAAAAAGGTAACCAACTGGTTTCAGCTAAAGACAGAAATGGTGGACAGAACAGAGTTTTGACATATCTAACAACAGGTTGAGAAATCAAGATACTAGATTCAATGCGAGTAAAAACTTTTAAGGAAGGATAATCTTAATTGATTGCTGACAGACTGTCACAACATGCAGAAATCCATGGGTGTTGCCACAGCTGTTTTCAAGCTCAGAAAGATGAGCCCGTTAAGATGAAAGAAGATGCAGATGAGAGCAAAAAAAAGATAAGTAAGATATCAGCTATCAGCACAATAATATTTAGCTTCAGTCTGAGGAAAGAAAGGGGAATAAGCACATACTCACCTATTCACCATACTCCATAAGCCTTGTCTTCAGGACCATGAGCTCCAAAACACTGTCTGTGATTTCCAGCTCAGAACATTTTCTGACTGCATTAGTCAATTAATAAGGGACAGGCCATCTATCCTTTCATCACCAAGATACGACAAAACCAAGACTCAAAAGCAGAACCTGTTAACTACTCCAGTACACACCTTTACTGTTCACAAAGGTAGGCTGTAGCTAGAGAAGCAGCTTGCAGATTTGTCACAAGAGGAGCTTTGTGAATTGCCAAGGTAATTTTATAGCAAATGTTAACAATGCTTAGTACACAAGAAGGAAGCACTATTATTTCAGCAGGGAGGTTATGACTGAATAGCTTTTGGTTTCAAATACAGTTTCATAGCAGCAGGAGGGATATGTATAACCCAGCTATATGAACTGGATTTCAAGTTGCAATACAAAATACACACACCACATCAACAGTTTAAGGAAAAAAATGCTTGAAAGCATTCAAAATATGCTCTTCAAAGCATGTACACTGCCAAGCACCTGTTCAGTATTAGTGTGTGGATCCTAAACTGAAGCTATTTTTGAAAAAAATGCATAAAGGAGGTTCTCCACACTGCAGCTGAATGTTAATTTTTAATCATTACCAAAACAATGGCTATGCACACACACCCCCTCCATAATAAGGAGCCTCACACTAAACTCCTAAACCCTTCTCTGCACTCCACCGCTACTCACCTGACATTACTCTGTTTTCCTAGATACCAATTAGGCTCAATTTAACAAGAGAGGTGAGTTTCATTTCCTTTTTAAGTATTCTTCTAAACAAAACCATTTAGAATGTGGAGAAATTACATGAAGGCCTCTAATAAGCCTGCTCCAATCACACAGCAATAACACAAAAACTTATACAGCTGCCTCCACTGCTTATTTAAATAAAGAAGTCTCACAGAACCCCAAACCACAGACCATCTTTCTGAATGCCTGCAGCATTTACTAGAATGTAATCAACTCAAAACATTCAGTAAATCATCACTGGAAGGCTTCAGGCACTCCACATTTCAAACATGGAAACATTAACACACATGGCTTCTGGCATACTTTAAGAAAAATATTTATGCACCTTGTCTTTGACCTACATGAATACAGTTTGGGTTTCCAAATACCATGAGAGGATCTGTATGAAAAACAAATCAGTGAACTGCCATAACACTAACCAGAACATCAGACAAGTCTTAGGGATACTTGTATGCTGGAAGCAACATCCTGCACATCTCGCTGCTCAGAACACTGCCAATCTGGACAGCATTTCTCATCCTGAAGATAAGCACAGAATTCTGCAACACCTTTCATCACTATCCTAGTGAAGAACCAAGGAAGCAGGGAGTTTCTTGCAACTAGTTTCTGTCATTGCCTGACACCCACATGGGTGACTCGCCAGCGCGCTCCTAAGAGCTCACTGTGAACAACTGCCTAGGAGATGCCTGTACAGCACTGCAAACATCACCCCACAGGAAACAGAAGAGCACCTACCAAACTGAACAGTTCCTGCTACTTCTCAGCTGCATCCCTCCTAGGTAGCAGTCACCAAATCATTTACTGGACAGCCTTCAAGTATTTACCGTTTAGTGCATTGAGAAGTCTGGGTTTACGTAGCCAGGAGTTAGATGTATGGATGAATATGGAAGAGTCACAGTCTACTTTGGAAAATACTCAGTTCCTTTACCCTTTTTTCATCTAAAGCTGATTAAGGGCTTGCAGTATTCGATTAGCATACCACCAACTCTCCCTGTATCACCCTCTGATCAACCACCTTTCCCCTTATCAGTCATCTCACCACTGCCCCGTGCTCTGCAACTATGTTTAAGTTGTATCCTGGTTAGTTTTTGGCTTTACTTTACCACTCAGTAGCTAGCCTGTAGCCCTTACCCTGCAGCTGGGTTCTGCTATCTGCACTTCAGCTCTCTGTGCTGGAAGTGGACGATGTTCCTGCGTGCTGGATCCTGAGCAGGTGCTGAAGCGTTGCATTCCCCACACGCCATGGGAACAGCTTCCCTGAAATGAAACAGAGATGATCAACAGAGAAGAAGAGATCAAGTTCAGAGGGACCATGTCATGTAAAAGCTTGGTAAAGGTTATTAACAAGTGAGGAGTAATGTAGAGGGTCACTGAGAATCAGAGACACCCTGATACCTAGAAAGATAGTAAGAGCTCTAAGAGCCAAGTAAAACTTTTAAGAATAAGGAGTCTCCAACATCTGTTATTTCAACAGAAGTTAGCAAAAAGAAGTTGCTGCAGACCCAGTCAAAGGAGATGCTGAATATTAATAAAAAAACTAAACACAAACTGGTAGGGGCAGATTAACTTCCTGATTTTTTTTTTATAGGAAAAAGGATTAATGGCTTTACTAACTACTTTCTCATCTGAAAAGCCTGATTTTTTTTTTTTAAATGTTACTGTCAGGAATATCTGAAAATATAGATCATGTTCCTAACCACTCTGGATTCAAGCAACTACCCCCTTTCCTCTCAACACCTACCTACAAATACATTTCTTAAAGTGGCAGCAGTTTAGCATTATCAACAAGAATTACAACAGCTTTTTTTTTTTCTTGCTTCCTGCATGTCAGCATAGGGCATGGGAAAACAGTCAAGGGAGCAGACTAAGCTTTGAGATCTCTCTCAAGCATCCAGCCTCCTAGCTATGTCGGAGAGGACTGCAGAACATCAGAAAGCATTTTGTCAACAACTGGGAAATATTAAAAGGAAGGGACATCACTGGAGGGAAAAAAAAACCCACATACCGGTGAAGATGTTCAAGAATACGTTCCTCCTGACCCCGAAGTTACCCTTAGAGCTGACAGATTTCAGAGCAACACCCTCATAATCAAAGCTATTCTATTCCAGCCGTGACAGACTGCAGCAAAGGAAGCGTTCCGAGGAGAGGACTCTCTGACCTTCTCCCCCCACCTCCTCTCAGGCGACGGCCTCGGCACCAGCCCAGAGCCTCAGCACCTCAGCGCCGGCTCCCCCGCCGGCAGACTGCGCCCCAGCCCCGCCTGCCC